CGCAGCAGTCGTCGCTGGAGCCTTTCTTATGAATCGGAACAATGACCGATTTTCCCCATGAGTTTGGCATCTTCTCAGCCCAAACTTTCTTGAACAGCGATAGGATTTCGCTGACTAGTACACTCCCGCCATCTTTGAATAGTGCCGGTGGTAGGCTGTCGGGACCAGGAGCCTTGGGGCGTTTCAAACATTGGATTACATCTCGGATATCTGCTTCGGTTGTGGGGTCTGTGAAGACATGCCAAACATCAGCCGTTGGGGATGGTAGTGCCACAGGGGTCTGTGTTGGTTGGTTGAATTGAAGAGCGATATGCTCTACCCAGCGACCCAATCGCCTATGAAAGCTCTTGTTCTTCGTGTCGTCTGATTCGCACATCGTCTGACTGATAGCGTGGGAATTGCAACCAGTGACCCTGATGATACAAACTAGACAGCGGAAGTTACTAACTGATGCAGCGTGTCCCATCTCGGATCGTTTTGACCATCGGGATTCACGATCAGAGCGAAGGCTCGCTTTCAGTTGTTGCGTAATAGGCCGGCTATGTTCGTTGCGCTCTGCGCCAGCAGGCACCGCCTGTCGGCGACCCAGCAATTCCGAGGATCTTCCCGAGATCCAGCTTTTGGGTTTGGAACGAGCGAAGCTGCAGCTGGACAAACCGTCCGACAGCATGACTTGTTGCAAACTTGACCAGTATTGCTCAGCATCCACAGTGAGAGAGAGAGAGAGTGATTTTCACGAAGTCTTTGTTGGTACTCCTTCTTCCCCATTGGGTTCTCCAACTTGTAGGTGTTCAGTCGCGTGTGTTTGCACCTAGGTCAACCACCGAAACGCATGCAAACGATCACACATACCACTTCATGATCGGTATTGACACATGTTGACCAAAATGATCAGCAGTCGCATACGCTACCGTGCCACCTGCGATGTATGGCTGTCGTCAATCTGTGACCAACGCTGGGTTGATGATGGGGAGCACCAAGTAACGTACTGGCGTCCAGGATGATGAAAGCTGGTGCTGGTGAAGAAAAGCTGAGGATCAGCACACAGACTGAGCAGTCTCTCTTCATTGTCTGAACGAACATCATCTTATCACCATTGAAGCATCAGTATGAAGCACCAGTGCGGATAATGACCGCGGATTCAACTGACAAACTTCGGTACCACTGATTCGTTTCTCTAAATGCGAGCAATATCTCGCAGGTATCGTTGATCGACAGATCCCACTTCTCTACTGTCTTCAGTGGTCAGTAACTGTTTCTCTTACGCATAGTAGGACTGGTCTCAACGCATCGCCGTACACCCTCCGCTTGATCGGGAACCTACTATCACACCATCTTCCTAACAGTTGTGTGCTTTGAAAAGCCACACACAAGCCTTTCTCTTGTTTGCAGCAAGCTCTACAGTTATGTAACACCCGGAGGTAGTACGGTCACTTAACTAAGTGAACCGATCGACAGCTTCGAGTAGTTTTTCGACTTATTTCCTTCATCCTAGTTTACAAACCAAAGAGGCCAACTACTAATCCGGAAAGTACCAGACCTCCACATCGTCCTTTCGAAATTCCTTGGTGATGTGCATTCCCACGGTCCCCTTAGTTTTTTGTTCCACTAGCTAGCTTTTTTTTACCATCAAACCATGAGAGACAATAGCAGACCATCGTGGATTGAAATCTAACTGCGATATGGCTTGACTCATCTTCCCTCATGTCTCAGTGACATGAACTGCTGGTTAGTCTTGCAAGCCACTAGAGGTTGAGTTAGATTCTCTGAGGAAGGTCACGGTAATGCGCATCACTGACTACTTCCAAGAGAACAAAACGATCGTCTGATGTTTTCCTGAATTGATAGTTTGCCTATCTGGCTTGTAATTTAATTGCGATGAATTAAATACATCTCGCCAAATCCCTCTACTCATGAACACTTTTTCGATTGTTGTGGTGTATCGGCCCGGCTCAGTTTAATCGCCGGTTTAGCGGACCGCACACCGCATCTTGTGCCGCTGTGTCAGTCTTTTTAGTATCTCTTATATGGCAGCTGGATCCAACTTCAACAAACCTTTGCCTCCCGTTTATCTGAAAATTTAGCATGACCTAAATAACACGTCTGTAAGGTAAGCAAGAATGCTTCGTTATTTTTTCAATCGCACAGTTTACATGAACGCGCGTGACACAGCAGTCCTAGTGCGATCCAACCAAACCTGGTGAGCTTGGGTTATAGTTTTAAGTTAGTTCTCAGAATGTATTGTGAATCGTGGTATGGAGCTAGTAGACTAGCAGTAAGTCCAGGCACGATGTTAAACAAAGGCATCGCCATAGTAATTGCCATATCAGGACATGCTGCACTAAGCGTTTGAATGTACGATATTTCTCAATCACCTAGCGAGACCTCTGACCACTCGGGGGGAGCGTATGTCCCGTGATTGGCTCGGAATAGTTCAAAACACCGTATGCAGCAACTTGTCCCATCTCGTCTCCTGCTCGGATTACCTGCACGAAGCATATGCAGTAATTAGTCGTTTGTGTAGCAAGGCTGCATAATGAAGACCAAAGCGAGACCATCTCATCGACGCTGCCTTATCTCCACATGATTGCCATGGGCTTGTCATCTTAGTATGTTAGCATGATGCAAGCACCCTGCTCCTGAATACTTGCTATGGTGTCCCCTATTCAGCTCCGTTCTTATTCCTCATTAGTAGCGTCGTCCTTTGATTTATGATCACACACATACTTCCACTTGTTGTGCTAATGACAAAGATGATGTGGAAATTGTGGACAATCTTCTCCTTCCACGCCCTCTCTACAGTACTGGTTTGCGTGTTTTTTCGTTCCTTCGGTAGAGCTACACTCCCAGTATTCGTATTAGCCTGGGTTCATGTCCTAATGAGCCAGAGGCTAAATTAATCTAGCTTGTCACAGCCCCTTCAAGCAGTAATTTCACTCTGAGACAGTTCAGTTCAGTCCAGTTTTGTTTTCCAGTTTAAATAGGGCACCAAAATGCAGTGGACCCAGTTGCAAAACGTTACATCACCAGAATAATAATAACGGTAGGAAAATGTGATTGAATGCAAACGGAATACGCAGAGCAAGTTGTATCGTGAAAGAGTCACGCAAAACTAGTTGGGATGTAATGGGTATTAGCATCTAGATGCAAGAAACCGATTGCAGGAGTGCCACTGGCTGCGCGAATACCCCATGTTCAAGAGACTTACATGATCCCATAGGTGGTTTGCTTAGTTTGGTTAATGAGCCACGTCGTCGACCCAGAGTTTTGGAATTGCTCTCTTTCCCAACAGACGTCACGGATGTTACCATTGGACGCTAATCACCCACGTACGCTGAGACTAGACAAGATCTTTCTCACACCTGCCTACCGATTACTTTGACATGCATCGTAGATGGAAAATGCCTCTAGTAATGTGTAATCCCATCAATGACTTCTCAGTGATGTGGCAAAATAGCTTGAGGGGCCCACAGGCCGAGCTAGTTCAGCATAGCTTGTCTTCCTGTATGCGTCTCAGTATCACGTACAGCGCAGTCATAAAATGCATAATGTTCACTCGCATATTCCCTCATCTCTATGGCTTCTGACTATTCCGTTTAAGTTTTATTTGCCTCTATCCTTATTGAATCGTTTGACTACATGGGTCTAGCCAAGTAGACTCTAACCAAGTCAAGTCAACCCTGCACTTTGTGCGGCCACAGCACACAGATAGAATCAATGAAAACTATGGCAAACTGATATGGTACGTCAGCAATTTGAAAACGTAGCACAGGTGATATCATCGAATCAGTTTGGCCATCAGTTCGTCTGACTAAATTTTGCTCCCTCGGAAAACGGGACAACTACAAGTATTCTCAATAATTTCCAAGCAACTGACGTACCATAAGCCCCCATGTGGGCATAAATTACTTTGTACGTTTGTCTGGTTGAGAAAATCGAGCTACATTCCGACGATGCACTGTGGAGGGGGTGGTTGGCGGCATTAGTGCGTATTTTACACGCCAGGTTTTCACACGAGTGAAAGTGATTGAATATATAGTGATACTAGTAAACTCAATCGCTGAAATGCTGCAACACCGATCATGCTGCTTCAGTGACTTGTTGATCGCTTTGAAATGCCAGTTTAAAAGTCCAGGAAAGATCACGGGTGAGCAATGCCTCCATTGTGGCACTACGCAAGCGGTGATAAACTATAAGATCAGATAACGGGTGAACATCTAAATCAGGTGACATAGAACTGTAGTCTCCTGATCTTAGTGAATCTCTCGTTCACGTGATGGGGCCGCGTGAGGTCACAGCTCAGTGTAACTCCTAGCTATTTCACTGACTTACGGGAGTTCAAACTGACACTGTCAACACAATGGTGCGGTGTGTGTGTGTGTGAGGAATTGCTAACAACGATTTACCTTGGACAGCGAAAAAACAATATCTTACCCTGACGCGTTCAGTGAAAAACAGCGGGATTTGGACCAAGCCGAGAGGAGGTTATCTAAGTAGTACTGCAATTTGGCCGATGAATGTGGTGTGATTGTGTACACCACGGATCACCTCATCAAGTTACTTTGGATTTCTTTGGAACTGTAGTTGAGCTAATATACAAAGTAAAAATACGGACAAATTGGCGTCCTGAAGTACACCGGAATTCCCCCCAAAACCTGGTAAACTGCGTACGTTTGGCAGAGTAGTCTGCAAGACGAAGCATCTATCTGATTGACGGAATTGTCAAGATCTTATCCTTTATTATACTGGGTCGAAATTAGTGAGGTGAGGTTTAGTAGCATTTACTACAATCGCATACCTTGTTCCACTTCTCAGAATCATTACTTTCTTTTAGTTATCGACCACCAATAGTATAACATTGGTGTAATCCTCATAAAGTTTCATTGATTTATCCTGTCACTACTTTGTTGTATTTTTTATCTACATTTAATCTGCACCTTGGTTCCGTCATGGTATACTGCTAATTTTTATCGCTTGTACATTTTCTTTGTCCTATTAAGGGAAAACCACCTTGGCAGACGCCCTACTTGCGACCAATGGTATCGTCTCATTGAGGCAAGCGGGCAAACTTCGGTACATGGACAACACACCAGCTGAGCAGGAACGAGGCATCACAATGAAATCCAGCGTGGTCGGACTTCGTTTTACGAGGCCACCATCATCCAAACAACCGGAATCCTGTTCATTTCTCGTGAATCTTGTCGATTCTCCTGGACATGTGGATTTTGCGACCGAAGTATCCACCGCTGTGCGCTTATGCGATGCCGCCATCATCGTGGTCGACGTGATCGAAGGTGTCTGTCCGCAGGTCAGTGCGGTGCGCATTCCATTTCACCCCCATCTCACTTCAGACCCGGTCCGTGTTACGTCAAGCGTGGAATGAGCAGCTCACTCTGATTTTGGTCCTGAATAAAATCGATCGGTTAATTTTGGAATTGCAGTTGTCATGCTTGCAGGGGTATCAGGTTATCTGCCGAGTAATCGAGCAGGTGAACTCAGTGTTGGCCGAAATGTTTGCCGCTGATATCGCCCGTCATCGCGATGAAGATTTGCAGCTTTCTTCAAAACAGGTGAGATTTTTGCTGGGATAATTTTTGCTGTTCTTTCTATGCATAGCAATTGTACTACTTGTGGAATTTCCTTACGCATCAATGCCCTGTTTGCATTCTATGTAAAGGCGTCTCTCCTTTCTACACCTTTTGTAATATTCCTCCGGTCCGGCGTTCAAAGTTGTTCCATGTTCACATAGTACAGGGGGTCGTAATAGCTCCTTGGAGCCACAACCAAAAATAAATACCTCGTAGACGGCTGGATTTTCATATCACAACGCCCTAGTAGGAGACCGATCTAAAGAAGGCAGCGAAAGAAGCACGGAAGAGGACAACACCAATTGTGCCGGAGAGGAACAAGAATTTTAAATAAATAAATGGTATATTCCTCGGTGATTCGAGGTGCAATCCAACTATGTGGTCTGCTCAATGTGTACAACAGGATCGCAAAAAAGATAAACAATTTGTTCACGCTTTTTACAATGGATACAAAACAGGTATTAAAGTAATTGGCAGGATTATGGTATTAAAGAAATTAAAAAACCCAGAAACAATAACATATGCAGATTTAAACTGGTGTCCAGTTAAAGTAATACGGCCACTCGTGGAACCGTCCCCAGGGGACCTGCTTCCATGCAAGGTATTCCGTTGAAAGATTTCGCCCGCACTTTCAGGCTATACCTGGCCGCGTGCCGGTGTGGCATAGTAGCATATGAGTCATCACCTGTTTATCATATGTTGTGTTCTTTTTAGGGCTGCTTTTATACATGTATTATGAGCGATAAAGCCTCAGCCCATTCCGTCATGCGGATCATCCAGTTATGGCACTTTTTTATACGCCAGTCAATTTGTGGTAATGTGCCTTGCATAGGTCGATTTAAGGGTTAGAGGGCGAAACAACGGTCATAAAAACAACCCTTATCACTTTCCCACCTATTTACATGTTGTAAGATCATCAGCGGTCCGACTACATTATACTGCTATACTGTGTCATTCAGGGTTGTTAATAATTTTGTGGTCGCAAGTGTTGCATGTGATACGATCGGAACACATGTATCAATCACCTTGGATCTTCCACTTGAACTGTTCAGGCATCACCAACCTAGATGTGGTCCTCATTAATTGCTAGGCGCTAGCGTCTTCATTCAAACCCCTTTCTTTGGTCATTCGAAGACGGTCATTTGCTCACAAGATCCCTTCAACAGTGCTCTTGCTTCCTGTTTTTCACCGGTTGCAATTTCCTTCCAAGGCTAACGAGCAAGGAACTTTGCAACTGATACCACACGATACTTCATCATCGTTATACAAGTTGGCTACAGGTGGTAAACATCTTGGCTGTTGTACCGCAGTACATCGTACTTTCGATGGGGGCCTCATTCCACATTGGTATATTCCTTATTCACGCTTTGTGTATGCTGATTCGACGAGTATCTTGACCATGCGGATGTCGTGGGCGCTCAAGCCGTTTGCTATCCAGATATAGCTGGCCCGTAGCCTTAAGGAACACAAACCTTCCTTGTAATCCGTAAGCACGGGTTCAAGCCTGTGTAGAAAACCATGCGACCCTCGCAGCGGTATCCTTAGTCCACCTGTGACTGGTGGTAATTGCACAGCAACGAAGCGTTGGTACTGAGTACCGGTGTACATAGACGACTTAGGTGTTTTTAAGCGAGACCCACCTACTGTGCAGGTATTATTAAATAATCCGACGCATAGCGCTTCATGTCTTGGCGTTAACCTTGAGCCTGCAAAATGCGAAATGCTGTTTTACGTGACTGCGCCCGTCATATTTTTGGCCTTTCGCATCTATGAGAAGGCCATTCCAATCGGTGGATGGGTTTTACACATCTGGGCAGCTCTATCACCACTGCTGGTTGCATGACTGTGAAGCTTACGGCACACATACGTAGGGAACGTTTGGCTTTACAACGTCCCGCTCATTTATGGAGACAGCCGAATATGGCTTATTAGTCGGTGGATAAGTTTACAAGAATCTGGTGGATACATTTGAAACGCCAGCCTTGTTTGAATACCCATGTTGTCGCTAAATCACTTATGTTTGTTGCGGGAGCCGAGTAAGTAACGCTGAAATTCATCCCATAGAGTTTGGCTACTGGGGCCCCATTGGACCGCCTAATGTGCTTTAATCGCTTCCGCGGTCTTAGTGGTGTGCCCTGCATGCCTACAATGCGTCTGCATCGGTATGCATCGTTTGCCAATGCTTTGCCTAGGCGGGTGGTCCGTCAACGGGGAAATTCACCGTAGGACCAAGTAGTGTTGGTACCTGTCACTGTAATGGATGCTGTTCTTTGGGCAGGCCACTCGCCTCTTCGTCACGATAATACGACCAATGATAGAATACGGCTCTCCCGCATATTGTCCCATCACGCTGGGCGAGGTAGAAAAGCTTGAGCCAGTGCAGCATGTAGCCACCATGCTGATTCCCAACTTACGAGGTATGCCATATGAAGACCGATGTAAGAAACTAGGGCTATACACCCTAGCATATCGTCGGCTGAGGGTTGACCTAATCATGACGCACCGGATATTACATCTGAGTGATTACCCCATGTTGAGACAACTGCTTCATCTGCGCACACCAAGCTGCACGCGAGGACACCGGTACAAACTTATCGTACCGCAGTTGAAACGGGTAGCTCACCAACTCTGTTTCGAACGTAGAGTGGTGAATACCTGGAACAACCTGCCGCAGACGGTAATAGAGGCGAATTCAGTGGCCGAATTTAAGCAGCTTCTAGACAAACACTTTGCAGAGGCAAAATTTAGAGAGCGGAACGATAATTAATACGTTAATGTCCAAGAGCGACAATTGATGCAGCTACACAGTGTATGCTCTACTCGCTGCTTCTAATCAGTATCAGTGGTTAAATGTCCTATTGTATACGGCGTCGTCACAAGGCCAATAACACCATTGGCATCCCCTCCGTTACTTCTGGCTCTTAGTTACTCCATCTGCAGATTTCATCTCATTCATTCTTGCTCGATTACCAATATGAGTGATGCGTAAATCACATATCGGTCATAACTGACGGATTAGACCTAGCGAATAAACAGGGATGGCTCTTCACTCTTTTTGAAGTCGGTTTTGCTGTGTTTCCTAGTTGCACTCAAGATAGTTAGGGTATGATAACTCTCTAACTGCCTCGCTCATGATCTCAGACTCGTAGCCTAAAGGTAACGAGCTTGTCCTGTAATCCTAAAGTCGCGAGTTCGAGCCTGCGTAGAGGACCATGCGACCCTCGCAGTATCCTGAGCCCACGTGCAACTGGTAGTGGTTGCGCGGCAGCGAGGCTTTGCTACTGCGTACTGGCGTACTGCTGATGCCTTTCTTCTTTCTTTTCCTGTCCTCTGCAACATTCGTAACTTGCATGGCAGTGGAGGTTAAGACGCGCTATATCGCAGTTAGCTTGTACATCATGACGGTCCGATGTTGTCCGCCCTGACCCAGTGGCATAATCCGATGACTGGCGGTTCAAGCCGCTGATGGTCTTGGGTTCGAATCCTGACGGATCCGATGGATGCGCACTACTGATGATGCCCAACAGGCTGCAACTGCAGTCTAGTGCTTTTCCGGGCATGTGGACAACTATCTGATTTGGAAGCTGGCTGCGAAGTACCTTAATAAATAAATGATCTATTTCTCAACATTACGAGACACAGACCGATTGGATGGCCTGGTCATATTGTACCTCATAATCACATAGTGAAGAAACTTGTCTAAGTGTAACAATGTTTCATCTGAAGTGTTGGGAGTTTTCTATCAATTAAAAGTATTGCAATGAAAAGCTGATAGTAAGAATAATTGTAAGAATCGTCATCAGTTTAATTAAACTACTACAGCCATCCATGAAACCGTCCCCTGGAAACACGCTTCCATGCGAGGTAGTCCCTCGAGAGATTTCATCCGCGCTTCCACGTCAGTATCGACAAGCACTAATTTCTTCATACTTCCGGTGCTACCTAGTCCATGGCCCTAGGTATTTATTGTCTCAGTATTCCGGAAGGTGATCTGCCCCGGTCGATTTCGGGCCTTAACAGGGGCTTAGGTGGCCAATATTTGAAGATAGAGTATATCTTTATTATTTCAGTGCATAACTCAACTCAGTGACCTTCAGGGACGCATTTTGTTGACAGCTCATCGCTCATCTGTATGTGACAGCGATTGGACCTGTTGCGATCATTGTTTACAATGAGGGTTACTCATTTGGCGAGTGGATAAGTGCATCAGCAGCACGTGGTACGGACAACAGAATTTCGTTTCTGGTCAACACCAATGACGTTGATGGTTGGAGCGGTCCCGTGAGATGACTAAGTCAACTTCAATTGGAAACCGCGGAGTATCACCTAGACTCATCCAGGGACATTTCCAAGGGGTCTCAGTTTACAGCATCCTATAACTGTCACCAGTTGGTCCACTTCCAGCGAGGTCGGTTACCTCTCGTGACTGACGCTGTCATTTGCTAAACCATCGACTCATAGATCCTAATGGTTTACATTCCTTTGCCCTGTTGATGCGAAATTAGACACTTGGAGCCAACAGCCTTACCCCATTTTACATAAAAAAGGAAGAAGAGTCCTTGGTGACGAGTCCAGCAGCCACCAATGACTCGTTTGTTTCGCATGGATGAACACATACGTACACGTGCAGACCATCATGACGTCAATTAGGGTAAGCCTAGAGTACTCAAGTGTACTGATAGTGGCCCCCTTGAAAGGTCGTTCAGCAAGTGAGATCGACGAATCTACGGGGCTGTGGGAGGTTTGGGGAGCAGAGAGTAGTGGCACACAGTTTTCTGACAGTCACACTGATTAGCCTGGTGCGACCGAAGAATGAATCATATTCCATTGCCAATGCGTTTCCTACCTTATCAGGCCCTTTCATGCTTTCCCACAATTTTTATCATATATATCTCAGTTTACATCACATATTACTCTTTTCCACTGCCGTTATCATAACTTTGCATTAATTTTTGTTCCGTTCTCTTTCCAAGCCCGCTTCCGATGATATTGGTGCAATATCGTATGTTATATCTGACGATTTGAGCCAAACCGACGATTCCAAACTTTATTTCTCTCCAGACCGTGGAAACGTAGTGTTCGCCTCAGCCGCAGACGCATGGGGCTTCCGGCCATCTGATTTCTTGACTTTGTGGTCGGAAAAGTTGAATGTTTCTGTGGATGAGCTAGACAAATTTTTATGGGGAGATTACTATATCAGTCGAAGCCCGAATGAAGGTTGTGGTGGACGTACTGTGTTCAAGTCGGATGCACATTCGAATGGGCGAAAGCCGGTCTTCGTTCAGTTGGTGTTGGAACCGTTGTGGAAAGCTTATCAGGTGGGTGAATTGGTCTCATGAATGTTCGCCTTTGTTCCTTACCAAAACGTTTCGATCTTTTTACGACATACTGATCCGATTACGCAAATGCCCTGTTCATACTCTTCCTTGTGTGTTTTCGATATTCATTCACTTTGCGTGGACTTCGTTTTGGGTCACTCCTTCGCTCGATGCTTTATTTCACGTGTGGACCCAATCTCCGCACTCTGGATTCGAGACGCGCCTCCGTCTAGGTTTTGGCATCCTGGCTATATAGCAATTCTCATCTATACAATATTGCTGATGAAACGAGATTTTCACGACTCGTCGGCGGTGGAACATTGGATCATAGCTTTTATTTCGCCATCTATTTTGCTCGATTCACTATTGTCTACGAACTGCGTATTGGTCAAACTGCTATTATGTTCATTTTTTCGAAATCAATCCATTTTGCGGTCATTTCTGATTTGATTTCGACACAAATCTGACAAAAGATGTGGCCTTATAGTACAGGACACATCAAATATTTGCATATTCTAATGGACCACTTAGAGTAAGAACATCGAATTGGAGGAAACGATCGACAAATCGGGTGATATCTTAAAGTCAAAGAACAGGGATTTAGTAGGTCTGTGGTAAGTGTTACATCGTTTTAGCACCTGTTGTGGAGTGCAACTACTATATATACAACTTCACATCGGGAATCGGCCTCTGTGCGATATTCCTGTCCCCTAGTGAGGCAATGGAAAAAGATCGGAGGTCATGATTTTAACCACGACTGACATCCATCTTTTAACTCTGCGGTGATCAATACCTGATATTGGGTGCGTGATCTTGCCATGTCCCAAAGGGTTTCCCGCCAGGCGTGCCCTTGGTCCTTGCACCCTCAGCCCGGGAGTCACAAAACGCATGAAATGCAGAAAGTAGGAACGACTCTTAGCCAGCCCTTCGGGAAGACTTCACACTTCGACGGCGTGAAGGTCATTTCGAACTGGTGGATAGACACCAACCTACGCAATACAATTTGGGTGGCCTGCGAGAAGTCGCAAATTATGACAATGTCGCCTGTGTACTTCAAATTCTCAAGGCAATCCCCTGTATATATTTACAAAGGTCTACGAATAGACATAGAGCCATCAGAAACCATGGGACTCAAAAGAAGGTACAGAAATAGTAAAAGAAAACACAACACAACAAAGTCCATGGTTTCGTCAGAGGGCGAGATACTACCCGGTTGCCCAAGCCGAAGTAGGGTGTTGACTTAGGGGACACCACCCCGAGCCTTTGGCTGAATAGCCTGCCCGCAAGGCAGCGGAGCGAATTCAGGGAATCGCGCCCATTGGAGCCGGTGACTGATTGCTCAGTTCATACGCCTTTCGTTTGTTCCTTTGTCAAACAGGGGCCCAATGCTCCCCAGAATTACAGCATAACGTTTCTGGAATACAATGCTTCGCCAGGATGAAGCAAGGGGCAGTGACTTTATTTAGTGGCGAGTCACGTCCGCCACGTCACAGTGTTGTTAAACGGACATATGTGGCTTTTTATAGGGAGAACGCTTGCCAGGCGAAAACCCACCACGTCCTGGAACACTGCCGCCGAACCATTTGCTGGAACGGGAAAATCCCGAACCACCCAGCTGGCACCACGAGGAGGTTGTTCGGCAAGCCAGCCGGCAATCCCCTGGAAGTAGGTCTAATTTGCTGTGCTCATAGTTGTCCAGAGCACTCTCCAGGATGTCGTTCATGTGGCGACGTTGAACAGGAATGGTGGATGTTCGGCAACACTGTTCCATACCCCACTGTTGATGTCGAGATTGCGCACTCTAGTTGAGGTTCGAGAATCATTGGCTTGCAGAATGTGAACCTACTACTCTAACACTACTTAACGAGTGACTCAGTTTACTGAGCAGAACGCAGCTCGTGTATCTAAGCGCACAATGATCGTTGGCCGGCCAAACATTCGAGGATGTCTGGCGGATTGTGAAGATGTGATCGACCTAATTCCGACCAGAGCAGAACTCAGCTTGCTGTTCGCGTACCAGGCTGCGCCTGCTAGAAAAATACAGAGCGGCGAGCGACGCAAACTAGACTAACCCCTCTATGTCTAGCGCAGTCTGTTTGAGTACACTTTTTGAAAAAGCGGTGTGATCTCCGCTGGGCTCCAATAGACGGGAGCACTTCAGTGATCCACTCTCTTAGATGAGAAAAGTTATTGTCAAGGTAAACAGACCCAACGAGTCAACTATTGCCGTTTTCATCGACCTTCCTAACTGAAACTGATCAGTTAATCCTCTATCAAGTGCTACTGCCTAGGGAATGGCATTTCGCCACGATGACAGTTTTCTTAGACTTCTACGGGATAGTTGTATCGACCATTGATTTCTTTACACTGTGACCACTTTCCTGTCTGGTCGGAAAAGGTTGTTCCTGTTAAAGGTTATTCCACTTCTTTTTCGATTGATTTGGGCTTCATTGTCGCATAATCTAACGATTGGTCACGGGTCACAACTGATTTCTGGCTACGAAGGAAAGTGAGAATTGTTCTTAGAGATGCCACTTTCAATAGAAGAACTGAGCTTGCAACAGCGACTGAAGTTATCTGAAGGATCATTGGTGCGGCTCATTGAAACACTGACGTAAAAGCTAACAGTTCAGTCTTTCTCAACAGATAAAAAGCAGTTATCCGTGGATACAATTTTCGGAATTCAGCTGTGATCTTGTGGCCGCATACATTTACCAATCTTGTTCAGAAGGTATGAAGATACTAGTAAACAGCTAGCTGATGTTTAGAAGGTAGATAATTCCTTATTCTTCATACTAATGCAAAGAATTTCAAATTTGTTGAAATTCTTGGGTTGTAGAAAAAATCTGTAGGGAAGAGTCTTCTATTTTTCACTTACGGTATTCGTATTTGAGACTTCTCAGAAACGTTTCTAACAATTTTATGTCTTACTCGAGCATAGTTAACGTTAGTATGAGGACTTTAGGTTTATGAACAGGACCGAAGACCAATTCTAGTGTCCGGTATCTGTTTTTGCCTTTCAGTCGCTTTCAGACTAGGATATTCATATCCGCTCGCTCAGTACCATAGAGCGGGATCCTGCCATGAACCTAAAAACAGTCGTTTTTGAAGGCCAGCGTTTTAACTTGAAGCGCGATACTGGCATGATCGGATGATAGGCAGTTCCAGTGACTGCGTGTCGTGACAAAAAGTTTGACCCCGCTGGGGCACATTAGTCCTTTTAGAGGCGGCACATTTAACGGACCCTTTACAGGCCGTTGGCAGTGCCCTGTTGGCACTACGTCCGACTGCGCATTCAAAAAGCACCACTGTCAGAAGTTTCACAAATGAGAACTCAACGGGGCTCATGACTGCTCGAACAACGGAAGACCTTCGAAGACTGTCAGGGCAGTACAGAAGAGCCGGACAGAAATTTATGTAGTTAAGTCCCTTGGCGACTGCTTTTGACAGGGACACACAACGTCTGAGGATGTACGTGACTGTGCATATTCTCAACCCTTCTGTGTGTCTTCAGCTGGTTACATCATTTGATCTCACTCTATATTGTTAGAAAGCACATGGAAGGTGACTTATTATTATTACTATTATTATTATTATACACGTCAGCTAGACGTGGGAAACACCTCAGCTACTGTGCCGCAATACGTAAAGGAAAAGGAAAATAAATACAACAGTTGCGTGCCAACTGAGCTACCAGCAACGGATAGGCATCGTTCCGGTAAGCTACCAGCCGGCTACTAGGCAAAAAGAAAAATTATTAGTTTTACGCTACGAAATGAGATCGTAGATGGAGGGGGAGGAGAGGGATGGGGGACAAAGAAACTCACAACACGAACGCCACTGAGGTCGGCTCCTTGCCATGTCAGCAAGTGTATCCAGCCAAACGTGTTCATCGTCTTTTGGACCCCAACCAGGGAGCCGTGACGCTCCAACCGAAGCCAGCTCCGAAGTGAGGGCCTTCATTCCTCTGGACCAAGTCATCGCTTGGCCACCCCTCCTCTTCTTCCATCCACATCCCCGGTGAACAAACAACGCACGTCGTGGAAGTCGGTGGGCTGGCATGCGCAACACGTGGCCCAGCCATCGGAGCCTGATGCGTGAAATGACGGTGCTGAGCGGTTCAGTTCCTTTTTCTGTGCCGTAAACAAAGCGTCGAACACGCTCGTTACTCACGCGGTGTTCTCACCAGATGTGAGCCAAACTGCGACTGATCGCATTGCACTGAATTCTTCCGACGGACTGCTGAAAATCACACGTGTACTCCTATGTTATTAGTGAGTATTAGGCGGATCTATTGTTTTGTGGGTGTGAGAAGATTCGTCGCAGTTGAACTCAGGCAGTCACCACACATTCAGAAAAGCGCTAGACGGCCGTCACCAGCTCGTAAGAGTGAGGTTATGAGTTCGAATGTGGTGGGTGAGCGCTACTGACGAGTCCCAATAGGAAGAAATGCTTTCCTGGACGTGTGATGGCTGTCTGTCTGAGCCTGACTACGACAAGTCTTTTCAACATAGTCATATGTTCCATGTTTTTCCATAGAGCGGGGGTGATATGCGATTGCCACGTAGGGTACTCGCTCTTAGAATGCCTTGTTTGAGGATGTACCATCGGCACCAAGAGTCAGAATTTTTGAAAATCGAGTTCATTCGCTTTGTCTGCAGCTTCAAACCTGTCACGATTTCCTTCACCTATCTTCCCGTCGATTTTCAGTGCTGATATTATTCTGTTCTCTGCTTTTATCTCCGTTTCTTTTTCTTGACCTTTTATTTTTATTTCGCGTGACTGGCATAGCGTGGGTTTCTTGTGCAGTGCACGTGCGCCTCGATCGGTTGCTCGTGGTGTAACATTCGCAAAAGCTAAATCGATCGACCATAATCTACTCCCTGGATCAACGCCACCCACACTAGGACATTCATAGTATTATCCCACGATTTCTGTCCCCTTCGGAATTGAACTTACTGCTCCTGAAGTAGCTTAAAAATAAAATTGTAATCGGTCATGCACTGCGGCACACACATGTA